TTTTGCTCCTAATGCTCAGCTTCCCAAGTTCTGGGAGTACAGGCTTGAACGCCCATGCAAAGGATCAGTTAACTAACTGTGCAGCCTCAAACAACGTGGCTATGTGGGCATCGATGTCTACACATGAACTGTTATTATGGATCAGATCGCAGAGCCTAAAAGCTCTCACCCTGGTCTCTCTCTGGGGGCAGAGCTTGGGATGAAGAGCAAGGCTGGAGACTAAAACCCCAGCAGGTGAAAACCCAGTGGACATAAGCAGTGTGTGTCTCATGACAGGGTCACTGGGCCGGTAACAAGAAGCAAGTTTTAATCTGTTTACGCTCACTTGATACATGACTTTTTTCTCCCCCCAAGACAGGGTTTCTCTGTGTAGCTTTGGAACCTGTCCTGGAACTCACTCTGTAGACAAGGCTGGCCTCAAACTCACAAAGATCAGTCCATCTCTGCCTCCTAGAATTAAAGGTGTGGCCACCACTGCCTGGCTTCATTAGTCAAGTCCTCCATTTACATGGATTTTCTTCTCAAGTTTAAATTATTTTATTTAATCACTAGCAATACAATGCACAGCACATAGTAGGTACTCAGTTAAAAAATGTTTACAGTGATAGCAACAACTCTAAGCTGCCCTCCAGAGCTTCGTGCAGAGTGGGACAGGGAAGAATACACCTAGACCTGATCCTTTGAAACGAGCTCATCAGGGACAAAAGCAAAGGAACTTCTTAGTCTCCCTTTCCCTTGCTTTCTTATCATTTAAAAATATAAGCCCAGGGGCTGGAGAGATGGCCCAGTGGTTAAGAGCACTGACTGCTCTTCCAGAGGACCTGGGTTCAATTCCCAGCACCCACATGGCAGCTAACAACTCTCTGTAACTCTAGTTCCAGGGGACCCAACACCCATGGCAAAACTCCAATGTATATAAAATAAGAATAAAGAAATTTTAAAAAAAAAGTGAGTCCAACCCCCAACACAGCTCCGTCAGTAAGTACTACTGTCATTTATAAAACAAGCCACTAGCTAGGGATGGACATCTGTAATTCCAGGCAGACACCTGAGACTTCTTGGCTAGGCTGCCCTATAGATTCAGGTTCAGGCCAGACAGGACTGCACATTGAGACTCCTGTCTCAAAAACAGAAACAAACAAAACCAAACAACAAACATGAACTAAGCTCTAGATTCTCTGTATTCTAATAGGTTTCTGCATGGGCCACTCTTGACTAGATGTATGGGAGGTAAACTCTTCTCCAGACACACACTAGGCACGGGCATGGGCAAAGCACCCACTTGTATGTATATATGGGGAGGCTCAAGTGAATGGTCCAGCTCAACGGGCAGAAAGAGGAAGTTAAATTATTGCAACAGACTTTCAACACACACACACACACACACACACAAACACAACAACACAACAACACCACAACACAACACAACACCACAACACAACAACACACACACAGTGTGTGTGATGATGGTACCTGCTTTTGTACTTACTCTCAACTTCCACAGCCTGGGTGGGAAGACATTGCCTTTTTCTGCTGAGTGGGCATTTGGGACTGTGGTCCATTTCCCCAGTCCCCTGCTGCAGAAACTCCACCATCAGCTTATGCTATTTCTCCACACAGGCTGGTACTTACAGGATTTGAAACATCCTGAATTCTTCTAAGACCCAAGGAAAAGTAATTAATTCCTTTCCAGAACATGTGGGTCCCCCATGCCCATCTCAAGCACATTCCAGGACACACCCTTGAGGCACTCTCCCTCCATCCCCACCCTTTCTAAAGTAGGCTCCATTTCCCTTGAGAAGCCCAGGTTCTGCTGGGAGGAGAAAAGACAGATACAATCAGAGGCGAGGCAGGGAGGGGCCCACAAAACTGGTGTTCCCACTGGTACTATTTCCTGCCCTGATGACTTGCTAGCCTTCACCCAGGCTGGGTGGGGAAGAATCAGGTACAGACAAGATGTCCCTGTCCCTCAGCTCTTTCCACTCTCTTCTTGGTGGCCCTATGCTTATGTTTCAAGAAGGGACACAGGACCTAGTATGCCTAGATGGCCCTGGACAAATGGGGCATTTGTAGCCACAAAGCAGAAGAGAGGCAAGCATGCATGTTCAGAACAGGAAACATTCCTACAGGAAAGAACTTAGTTTATTCTAACGGGGCAGTCACTGCAGTACAGTAGCCCAAACCTCTGGAATCTTTGTTCAATGGCCTGATATACAGGGCATTGACCACATGCTCAAAGACCATCTTCCCCTTCGCAGCTCGAGAGATGGCTCAGTGGTTAAAAGCACTTGCTGCATGCATAATCATGAGGACTAGAGTTCAGATCTCAGCACCAGGTCACAAGTCAAGCATCCTGCACATGCCTGTGACCCCAACTTCAAGAGCTCATCTTCCCCTGCATGTGGACCAAAGATTTTGCTAGATTACTGGGGAGGGCACCTGGCCCAGTCAAGAGGATGGAGGATTTCTGCCCAGTTCTGCTGAGAACTTCACAGTTCTGGTTGACTAGAGACAGACGGAAGATGTCAGGAATAGAGAGCGTTTGCTAGGAATCTCACCTCTACCCCAAAATCTCCAGTTGCCCCCTCACCAGAAACTGAGGTGGGTACAGTAAATCAAATCAATGATCCATTAAAAGTGTTTATTTCTATACGGTGAGGAGGAAAGGAATAACACAGTCAACTTTTGGCACCTTTCTAGTCCATCACCCCCATGTCCTTCCCAATACAAAGCACTGGCAAGAGGGGCTGCAGGACAGAGTCACAAAGGGAGTCATACAAGTGGGTAGGTGGGAATTCAAGAGTCCATCCCCGACCCCTTGTCCTGGAAGATTCAAAGCTCAGGGGCATAGGGCTCCCCCGTGGGCGAGGGCACCCGCAGCTCAGCATCATGTCTCACCACCGTGAAGAGTCCCACTACTGCCAACAGAGCCATCACCATGACAGCAGAACAAATGCTGAACATATTCCTGGTGCCCGTTTTTCGATCACTGTCATGGAGGACAAGGAGCCCCAGACAGGCCAATAAGTGCAGGGGCACTCGGAACCAGTTGAGAACACCGGCCTGCTCTGTCTCTGGGATCACCTTTCTTCGAAGGAAGCTCATGCTGGGGAAGTAGAGCCCGCAGGCCAACTCAATGAGTAGAAAAGCAATGAAGGATTCCACGGGATTCTCCTGGCCGGGGCTGGTAGAGAAAGTCAACATAAAGAGAGAGAAGACCACGATGAGGACGGCAAGGGAAAGCAGGTGCATGGGCTGAAGGTGGTACCTCTTGGAGGTAGCGATGCGGTACAGGGAAGAACCCAGCAGACTGGCGGCCATGAAGCTGGAGAACACAATGCCCAGCGGGGCCCCGTGTGGGTCCAGCACAGGTGTCCAGAGGAAGACAAAGATGAAAATGACACTCTCAAACAGGGCTTGTATGGTGCCCAGCAGCAACACACGGCGGTCAGACAGGAGGCAGCGCAGGCCTCCAGCACAAGTCTTGGAGAAGGCACGCTGACGGTCATAATTCTCTCCCCAGTTGCGAAGGGCCAAGGCCCCTGTCAGAGCCAGAAGAGGGATGGCAGCCACAAAGGGTGCCACAGGCCCCAGTCCCATCCAACTGGCCACAGCCTCAGCTGCCACACCTGCTGCCACAGCCAGCACATGGTTCCAGAAGGCGGCTCGGGCAAAGGTAGCCGGGATCCACTCGGCAGGGAAGTCATGACGCTCCACATGCTCATGGATGTACCAGGCCTCAAAGGCTGAGAAGAGCAGAGCAGTTGACAGCCCACCAAGGGCTCGGCCCACCAGCAGCACAAAGTAGTCTTGAGAGAGCTTGGTTAAGCAACACAGAGAGTAAGTGAGGGAGAAAAGGACACAAGACTTCTTACGACCCAGCCAATCCACAAGGGAGGAAGCCACCAGGCCAAAGAGGACTGTGGAGGCAAGGCCACAAACGTAGAGGATGGCAATCTGACTCTCCAAGAAGTGGTAATGCTGATAGAGTTTATACAGGTAGGGGGCTTGGAGCCAGTCTGCTGCCAGGGCCAGAAAGTAGACTTGATAGAAGTCTAGTTGAAACTGAAGGAAGGAGGGATTGCTGCAAGCCCTTCCAGGGGGCTTGGCTCGGCATCTTGACAGCTCCAGGCCCAGGCAGGAGGCCAGGAGGCCCACAAAAGACAAATAGGCAGTCACCAGCATGGTGGGCCCCCGGACGACCTGGGGAGAGAACGTTGGTCATAGTCACATCCATAATCCAGGTGGCACAGTCAAGGGGTTGGGTGTCTAAGCAGAAGGCAGCTCCACCCAACTCCGTGTCAGTTCCACTCCCCCATAGCTCAGACCGGAGGGACCAGTCGGGTGGGTGGGAGGAGTGGTTGTCTCCTAGGACTCTGTGGGGCAAGGAAGGGGGAGAAGGGGGAGAGGCCAGAGCACTCGCCCCACCCTGGCCTGGCACTACTGCAAAGTGGGGCTCCTTTCAGTAATCCCGGTCCCGCAGGTTGCAAAGGGGCTGCTGCCCTTCTCCATGATAGCTCCTGTACGTTCTTCTGTTACCTCCCATTCTCACTGATGAGCCAATTTTGGAGCTCGGTGTCTCCACAACTAACCAGAGCATCCCTTCCGCCCGCGCGGGCCTCCCAAGTGCTTCACGGTCACGCGCGTGCATGGCAGGTTCCCCCGACTCTGGGTCACGCGAACCCCCTGCGCCCCCTAGTCTCAGTCTAGCTTCCTTCCCCTCACCCGCTGGCGCTTCGCCCGGCCTCGGTCTCACCTGCTGCCCCGGTCTTCGGGGACGCTCCGGACACGTCCGGCTCCAGGCCGCCGGGCCGCCCTCCCCGCACTGGCTCCGGCTCCGTTCGGGTTCCAGCAGCGCGCCCGCCCCTCACAGCCTGCTTCCGGGAGCCGGGCTGGCCCGTGGCCGCCGCCATGATGGCCCCGTCACGTGACGGGGGCGCGGCGCCGAAGCCCCGCCCCTCCATCCTGCCCCCGCCCTGGAGCTGAGGAAGGGGTTATCGGAGAGGCCGGCGGCTTCTGGTGGCGTTGTGTCCGGTGCCATTGACTCCTCCAACTCGCGGATACCCGCGGGGTCAGCCCAAATGAAAACGTATTTTGTCTGTTTTCCTCCACGCGGTTCCTCGGAAGGAGGCCGGCAGTCCCTCCGAGCCAGCGGCTGCCCCTCGCTAATGAACTCCGCTGCCCTAAGCGAGGCTATCCAGGGTTTGCATCTCCGATAATGACCTCCCAGCCAGCAGTCAGTGTTGTCCGGACACCTGAGGGAGGCGGTGTGGTGTAAAGAACTTGGACTCCGGCTGCACATAGATTGAGGTTCCAGTTTTACCCTTCACTTTACTAGCTTGGTCAAGCTTCCTTACTTCTTCCCTCGAGTCCCACTTTCTTTGTGTGAACTCATAGGAGAGCAGTGCCCAAATGAAGGCTAAACGTTCAGTGGCAGCATAGAGTAAAAAACTTCAGTCCTTGAGCTCAACTCCCACTTCCTGCTTCCTAGGAACTGCTTTATCTTGGGATGTTTGTTAAATTTTCTTCAGCCTCAATATTATGTCCTGGAGACCCTCCAGTGACTTGCCTTTTCACTCAGAATGGAAGTCAAATCTTTCTAATGGTGTACAGATGCATCTGTCCCGGGGACTTCTTGCTACTTCCATGACCTATACTCTATCACCCTGCCTACTGTCTACTCTTCCTTCCACCTGGGCCTCTGCACACTGCTTCCTGCAAGGTTCGGCGACAAGATATTTACCTTTTTTTTTTTTTTTTTACCGCCTCCAGCTTTCTTTTCAAATGTCATGTTATTAGAGAAGACTTCCTACTATAATATGGTGACTCATATAATACTTGTACTTGGAAGGCTGAGGCAGGAGAATTGCTGAGAGTTTAAGACCAACTTGGGTTACATAGTAAGTTCCAGGACTAGACTAGAATGAGACCCTGTCTCAAAAAATAAATTAAATTAATAGTAATTATTATTATTAACTAGAGAGAATACTCAGGGATTAACAGATTAAGAGCACTTGCTGTTCTTGCAGAGGATTAGAATTTGGTTCCCAGTACGTGATTCAGAACCCCCTGTAACTCCAGCTCCAGGGGATCTGAGTAGCCTATTCTGACATGTAACAGTATCTTCAGGAGAGTAGTATGCATGCAATCACTTAGGCTCACACGCATACCCATAAAAAAGTCAATACTTTTAAAAAAATCTATTATTCTTATTATTTTGGTTTATTGAGACAGAATTTCTCTGTGTAACAGCTCTGACTGTCCTGAAACCCACTCTGTAGTCCAGGCTGGCCTCACTCAAACCCACAGAGATCTTCCTGCCTCTGCCTCCTGGGTGCTGAGATTAAAGCTTCCCCTTCCCAGCCTGATTGTTTATTTTTATAGACAAGGTCTTTTTTTTAATATTTATTTATTTATTATGTATACAATATTCTGTCTGTGTGTACGTCTGCAGGCCAGAAGAGGGCACCAGACCTCATTACAGATGGTTGTGAGCCACCATGTGGTTGCTGGGATTTGAACTCAGGACCTTTGGAAGAGCAGGCAATGCTCTTAACCACTGAGCCATCTCTCCAGCCCCTAGACAAGGTCTTGTGTTGCCCAAACTGGCCTTCCATTCAGTATGTAGTCAGAATTAATCTTGAGCTTCCATCCTTCACGCCTCCGCCTCCCAAGTGCTTGGTTTCATTCAGCACTGCCAGCTCCATGCTCTGCCTTCCTTCTTTGCTTCTTTCTCTCCATAGCATTTAACACCCTCTGGTGGACTGAATTTTCTATTTGCATGTTATTTGTTACTTCTTCTCCCTATAGATTTGGATTTCTTTTCTCCATCTATATTCCCAGTACCTAAAGCAACCATTGGTAATGTAATAAATACTCTGTAATTATTCACAGATAATTTTCAAATGAATTTATAATTTAATCCATGTAAATTACTGTAGAAAGTCCTGGTCCAAGTTAACAGTTAATATTTATCAACTAATTATTATATACTCGTTCTCTGAGTATATGCACTTGTTTAAATGTTTATATGTATGTGTGTGAGGTTTCAGGAGTTTATATGTGCAACTTGTGTGTAGGTACCTTTGGAGGCCAGAGATTTTGGATTTCCTGGAACTGGAGTTGCCTGATATGGGTGCTGGGAACCAAACCCATGTCCCCTGTAAAAAAGAGGTAAGACATCTGGCCAGGTCTGTGCAGTACTACCTATTTCAACTGACAATCTCCTTTGCTCATATGCCTGAAGGTTATATGTGTGTATATGTATGTGTGTGAGTGTGTGTGCACATATACATGTGCAGATATGATTTTATGTGTATGGGTATTTTGTATGTATGCATATCTGTGTACCATGTACATACAGTGCCCACAAAGTTCAGAAAAGGGTGTCAGATAAATCAAACCTAGGACCTCTGAAAGAGCAGCCAATGCTCTTAACCACTGAGCCATCTGTCCTCTATATTGGTTTCTTTTTATCTGGGGTGGGGGGAAGGGCAGGGTCTCAGTATGTAACCTTGGCTGGTCTGGAACTTGCAGTGTAGACAGGCTAGTCTCAAAGTCTTAGCCATCTGCCACTGCACCCAGAAATGACTGGCTTTAAAAATTATTTAGCTGCCAAGTGTGATGGTGCATGCCTTAAATCCCAGCACTCAGGAGGCAGAGCAGGCAGATCTCTGAGTTCTAGGCCACAGTGGTCTACAGAGTGAGTTCCAGGACAACCAGAGCTGTACAGAGAAACCTTGTCTCAAAAGCAAAACCAAAAAGAAACAAAGCTTTAATTAGTTGATTAATTTTAAGCAGGGCACCATGCCTGCCTCTTTCTTTTAGTGTCTATGTACTTATTTATTTTTATTTTATGAGTATGGGTGTTTTGCCTATGTATATGTCTGTATACTATATACTTGGTACTTGTACTTCCATAAGAGGGTGTCAGATCCCCTGGAACTGGAGTTACAGACAGTTGTTTTCTATGTGAGGCCGGTCTACAGATCAAGTTCCAGGACAGCCAGGGCTACGCAGGGAAATCCTTTCTCAAAATAAAAACAAAACATCAACAAAACCCAGAGATTTATTTATTTTGATTTTATGTGTGCTTGTATGTATGTTTATATACCCACCATATGCATGTAGTTCCCTCAGGGGCCAGAAGAGGGTGTCAGAACCTCTGGAATCTAGGTTACAGAAGGTTGTGACTCCATGTGGAGTCTGGAACTGTAAGAGCAGTATGTGCTCTCAACCACTGTGCAAACTCTCTAGCCCTTATATCATTTTGAATTATTGTAGGACCTGTTCAAAATATGTATATTCTGAAGGTTGCTATATGACCCCTTGGACTGTGGAATCTGCTGGCAGGTAACTAGAGGAGAGAGAGTTAACTGTTGGTGCAGTTTATCTCCAGGGCAATCTTTTTTTTTTTTTGTACCAAGGAAAAATTATTTTATTGACACTTATTGAGCTCTATATTTTTCTCTGCTCCTCTCCCTGCTCTCCCCTCCTCTCTTCAATCCTCCCCCAAGGTCCCCATGCTCCCAATTTACTCAGGAGATCTTGTCTTTTTCTACTTTCTACTTCCCATGTAGATTACATTTATGTAAGTCTCTCTTAGTGTCCATATTGTTGTCTAAGTTCTCTGGGATTGTGGTTTGTAGGCTGGTTTTCTTTGCTTTATGTTTAAAAACCACCTATGAGTGAGTACATGTGATAATTGTTTTTGTGTGTCTGGGTTACCTTATTCAAAATAATGTTTTCTAGCTCCATCCATTTTCCTATAAAATTCAAGCTGTCGTTATTTTTTTCTGCTGTGTAGTACTCCATCGTGTAAATGTACCACATTTTCCTTATCCATTCTTCAGTCGAGGGCCATTTAGGTTGTTTCCAGGTTCTGGCTATGACAAACAAAGCTGCTATGAACATAGTTGAACACATGCCCTTGTGGCATGATTGAGCATCCTTTGGATATATACCCAAAAGTGGTATTACTGGGTCTTGAGGAAGGTTGTTTCCTAATTCTGAGAAATCGCCACACTGACATCCAAAGAGGTTGTATCTACCAGCTTGCATTTCCACTAGCAATACAGAAGTGTTCCCTTTTCCCCACAACCTCTCCAGCATAAGTTGTCATCAATGTTTTTGATCTTGGCCATTCTTACAGGTATTAGATAGAATCTCAGAGTTGTTTTGATTTGCATTTCTCTGATGACTAAGGATGTTGAACATTTCCTTAGTGTCTTTCAGCCATTTTAGATTCGTCTGTTGAGAGTTTTCTGTTTAGGTCTGTACTCCATTTTTTTTTATTGATTATGTGTTCTTTTGGTGTCCAATTTCTTGAGTTCTTTGTATATTTTGGAGATCAGACCTCTGTCTGATGTGGGATTAGTGAAGATCTTTTCCTATTCTGTAGGCTGTAGTTTTGTCTTGTTGACCATGTCCTTTGCTTTACAGAAGCTTTTCAGTTTCAAGAGGGCCCATTTATTAATTGTTTCTCTCAGTGTCTGTGCTGCTGGGGCTATATTTAGGAAATGATTCCCTGTGCCAATGAGTTCAAGTGTACTTTTCCCACTTTCTTTTCTATAAGGTTCAGTATGGCTGATTTTATGTTGAGGTCTTTGATCCATTTGGACTTGAGTTTTGTGCATGGTGATAGATATGGGTCTATTTTCATTCTTCTACATGCTGATATCCAGTTATGCCAGCACCACTTGTTAAATATGCTTTCTTTTTTCCATTTGATATTTTTTGCTTCTTTATCAAAGATCAGGTGCTCGAAGATGTATGTATTGATTGATATCCGGGTCTTCTATTCGGTTCCATTGGTCCTCCTGTCTGTTCTTATGCCAGTACCAGGCTGTTTTCAGTACTTGTAGCTCTGTAGTAGAGTTTGAAGTCAGGGATTGTGATGTCTCTAGAAGTTCTTTTATTGCACAGGATTGTTTTGGCTATCCTGGGTTTTTTACTTTTCCATATGAAGTTGAGTACCATTCTTTCGAGGTCTTTGAAGAATTTTGCTGTGATTTTGATGGGCATTGCATTGAATCTGTTCCAGGGCAATCTTCTAACAGAGGGTAGGCAGGACTAGAATCTGGATAAGAAGCATGAGAAAATCTTAGCTTTCAGGGAGAAATGCTCAGAGACTTGCTAGAAACCAATTTACCAGCTCAGTTTCTTTCTGAACTTTCATTATTAAAGGGTTGAAACATACTCAAATTTTGACTACCTAATTTCATGAGCCGATACATATTTAATTCAACCATTATAAAGTCTGCCACTCTTCCTTCTTTTTTCTACATTGAAACATTTCTAATTAAGTAGGTTGTTTTATTCCATACTTCTGTACCAGCTCTAGAGAATGACCTTAGAGCCATGCTTACATCTGAAAAACCAGCACAGTCCAGCCAGGCAGTGGTGGCGCACACCTTTAATCCCCGCACTTGGGAGACAGAGGCAGGCGGATCTCTGAGTTTGAGGCCAGCCTGGTGTACAACTCCAGCCTGGAGTTCTAGGACAGCCAGGACTACACAGAGAAATCCTGTCTCAAAAAACAAAACAAAAACAAACAAACAAACAAAAAAACTCAGTCCAGGGCCAGTGGGATGGCTCAGAGAGTTAACTGCTTGCCACCATACCTGACGTCCTCAGTTTGATCCCCAAGACCCACTTGATGAAAGGAAAGAACAGGACAGACTTGAAAAATATTCTCTGATCTCCACATTCATAGTGTGTACTTGTGCACATGCACATGCGTACACACAGGCACACACACGCTTGCACACACAAACACAAAATAGGTAAATGTTAAGTAAATTTTAGAAAAAGCAATAGAAGACAAAGTGGGAATGGTACTACACACATTTATTCCTGACACTGAAGAGGCAAAGGCAGACGGGTCATAGTGAGTTCCAGGTCAGCCAGGACTGCATAATTAATTAGACCCTGTCTCAAAAACAAAATATAACCCAGTCTACAGTTAAGTGTTCTCAACCTTTTTTTTTCTTCTTCAGACAAGTTTTCTCTGTGTAACAGCCCTGGTTTTCCTGGAACTCACCTATAGACCAGATTGACCATGAACTCATAGAGATCCACCTGCCTCTGCCTCCTGAATGCAGGGATTAAAGGCATGCACCACCACCCCACTTGTTCTCAACTTCTAAACTATCTTTTTATCATTGGCATCCCCAAATCTTGAACAAAAGCAGACCCATATAGTCCAGCGTAGCTGTCCATAGCCACCTACCCGCAGGCCTCACTGGTGCAGCTCTGTAGCTCTAGTTAAGTCCTTTCTCGTTTTCCCACAGCTATCGACCTATGTAGGTAACTGGGTGAGATTTTCTTAAAATCGCCCACATTTTTATTTATTTATTTATTACTTTGGGTTTTTTGAGACAGGGTTTCTCTGTAGCTTTGGAGCCTTTCCTGGAACTAGCTCTGTAGACCAGGCTGGCCTCAAACTCAGAGAGATCCACCTGCCTCTACCTCCCGAGTGCTGGGATTAAAGGCATGTGCCACCACTGCCCAGCTTTAAAATCGCCCACATTTTACCAGCGTCTACTTACTTTCTCGTTGGGTCATTTAATATGCTTCTCCATCTCCTTTATTTCTCATTAAATAGGGGGCTGAAGAGTTAGTTCTGTAGGTGAAGCACTTGCTTGGCATACAAACTTGGCATGAGTTCAATCCTCAGAGTCCGTGTGAAAACTGGGCATGGGTGGCAAGAGTGACAGGACTGTATTTCCAAAACAAAACAGCTGAGCAGTGGTGGCGCACGCCTTCAATCCCAGCACTCAGGAGGCAGAGGCAGGTGGATCTTTGTGAGTTTGAGCCCAGCCTGGTCTACAGAGCAAGTTTCAGGACAGCCAGAGCTACACAGAGAAACACTGTCTCAAAATAAAAGCAAAAAAAAAACCTAAGGTGAACCATGCTCACGAACATGCACACACGTGACATGACTTGTGCGCTCACAAACACACACACGTGACATGACTTGCACACTCATGAAACTGTACACACATGACATGCACACTCATGAACCTGTACATGCATGACATGCACACTCATGAACGTGTGTACACATGTGACACAACATGCACACTTATCAACATGCACACACATGTGACATGACATGCACACTCATGAACCTGTACACACATGACATGCACACTCATGAACCTACATACATGACATGCACACTCATGAACATGTATGCACATGTGACATGATATGCACACTTATGAACATCGTGCACACACACATGCTGTGCAGTGGGAGTTTGATTTAATTCATGTTGAACAGTTTGTGTGTTTCTTTGGCCAGCGTCTTTTCTAGGCATTTCTGAATGCTTCAGACTGCATCATGACAGCAGGCAAATGGTCTGGCTCTTCACATTTAGTGATGCTAAGCTTCTTCTGTGGACTCAGGTGATGGCATCATGATTACTTCGCTGCAAAGTCCTCAGTGAATCTATACATCTATAACTCCAGACTGGGGAGACTGAGGCAGAATAAGACAGAGTTTGACGCCAGCCTGGGCTTGTCCAAAATAAATAAATAAATAAAAATAAATGAATGAAACAAAGAGAAAAAGAAACCCACAGGAGACACAAACAGAGAACAGGGATTGGACTAGCAAAATGGCTCAGCATGTAAAAGCACTTGCTACCAAACCTGAAGATCTGAATTTAATTCCTATGTCCTACGTGGTGGAAGGAGAGAACTGATTCCCAGAAGTTGTCCTCCGGCCTCCACTGGTACACATGCCATGACAATGCTCACACACAGTACATAAAAATGAAAGAAAAGCCGGGCGGTGGTGGTGAACGCCTTTAATCCCAGCACTTGGGAGGCAGAGGCAGGTGGGTTTGAGGCCAACCTGATCTACAAGAGCTAGTTCCAGGTCAGCCAGGGCTGTTACACAGAGAAACTCTGTCTCAAAAAACCAAAAAGAAAGAAGAAGGAGAAATTGAGAGTTGAGGTAAAGTAAAAGTCCAGGGGAGAGTTAGGTGTAGTGGTACATGCTTGCAATCCCAGTCCTTGAGAAGTAGAAAGAGGAAGAATAGAAGTTTAAGGCTAACCTTGGCTATATGGTGAGTTCATAAGGCTATATAAAACTCTGTCTCAGGGTTGGGGATTTAGCTTAGTGGTACAGCTTGCTTAGTAAGCACAAGGCTCTGAGTTAGGCCTCAGCTCCAGGAAAACAAAAACAAAACAACAAGAACCCAACCCACCAGAATTCATCTCCACCCCAACAGGGAACATACAAGTACAATCACCTACCTGTGGGTAGGACCACTGGGAGCTGGAGAGAAGTTTTCCCAGCTTCCCTCTTCCCCAAAGCAGATGGTTCCTGCCTGGACGCAAAAGAAGGAAGGGTGTCAAAGCTATCCCAGGGGAGGGAGAAGCCAAGAGCCTCTGCTCAGCCATCTCGTCTGGTCTGAGGGATGCCAACCTCCTTTGTCTGGCTGAAGATGAGAGGTTAGGAGGCTAGAGACTCTGAGACAATCAAGGGTGTGGGTGGAGGTCCAGAGTCAGGAGTGGCCGCTGAACAGTTTCCTCCCCCAAAGAAAGAGGAGCCTGTCATATCTATGTGAACTGCAAAGGAGACATGCAGAGGTCTCTCCTGGAGAGGAAGGAGCCAGAGACATGCTTACCTTACCCTTTCCAGAAGGGGAAGAGGAGGAGGTTCTGGAACCAGCAGAAGCACACCCAGAAACTAGTATCCAAGGAGTGGTCCCCTTCAGGACTTGGGGAGGGGGTGTCCACCTGATACCATCTCTACTCCAGGCAGAGCTTCTGTTTGAGGAAGTAGCTCCAGTACTAGCTGAACCATCGTTCATGAGACACGTCCTCTCAGCCTAGATTATCAGACAGAGTCCTTGAGAAGCCCTCTGTCTCCTGAAGCAGAAACTACAGCGGCCTGTGGAGCCCCGAGGCCTCCAAGCAGTACCACGGCCATAACTGCAGCTGCTGCTGCAGCCCAGGTGGGAGCTCCCACAGGCAGTCTGGCCTGTGGGACAAGGGTAAATGGGGCAAGGCGAGTGCTGGCAGTAGGTCATAGGTGGACTTGAGCAGGGGACGCAGTAGGTATGGGGACAAGTTGAGGGAGGACAGGTAGGGCAAGGAGAGCAAGAGCAGGTGCAGGGTGGGCCAGGAAGGCCTGGGCAAGAAGGGCAGGTATATGAGGGACAGGCAGTGCAGAAACAGGTGGGAGGGGGACAGCTGGGACAGGGGCAGGCACAGGTGGAAGGGGGACAGGATAAGCAGGGAGAGGTAGCTGGAGGCCCAGAGGGCGGAGGGGGCTCCTGATAGGTAGCCTTCTTATTCCGAGGCCCCAAGCGTAGGCCCAGAGAGAAGTCCATTTGGCTGCAGGATCAGGCAGGCTAGTGGCTGAGTGGAAGGCTCTGTGGGGAGAGGGGCAGGATTAAGTCTAAGACACTCTGAGCCCCACTGATCCTGCAGGGAGCTCAGGCCTCTCCACCTGGCCATTCTCTTCTCAATCTGCCTGACAATACTTTGATCCATCCTGTTCATGGTCCTTTACTGCACCAGATCGGGACACATTCTTCAAACAGGATGTGCACTTTCATGCCAACAGCATTTATTCACACTGTTTCTTTGCCTGGAATGGACTGGTCTTACCTTCCTTCCCTCTACTTGCTCACAAGGAATTCCTAGCAATTCTAGGCGTGGTTACCTGCCTGAGTCTCTCTAAGCCTGGGAGCCAGAACTAAGGCTTCAGGTTCTCCCTAGGCTCCCAGGGTCTCAGAAAGACAGTCTCCGGGAGACTGACTCAGGGATGTTGCTGGAGGTGATAGGAGTGTTAAGGAGGCCTCGGTTCTGGGAGCTGCTAGAGAGAGCAAGTCTCAGGTGTGGGTGTGGGTGTGCCTGGCTGTCTATGGGGAACCAACAGCTGACTTGGACAACCATTATTATTATTATGGACCAGGCACAGGATGCTAGAGTGAACTAGACAGCTGAATTTCCCTTCTCAGGAGGGCCTGTGCAAGTAAGGAGTAGCGCAGGGTGGGACAAAAGCCCAGCAGGTAGGTAAGTCAGTATTTCAGAGCGCTCAAGAATGGTTATTCTCATTATAGGAATATCAAATAAAAGGTGGTTCACAGAGGGGAATTTAGACAGCCCCCAACAGTTTGATTGGATGGTCCTTAAGGATTCTGGTCCTAAGGATTCTGGCAGAGGAAGAGACACTGTCTGAGACTGAATGAAACCAAATAACCAGGAAAGAAGAAAAACACAGTGAAGAATAAGGGGGCCCCCAGATTTGATCCCCAGCACCACATTAAAAAAGAGGAGCAGGCAGAAGACATGGGTTATCAGTTAAGAGCATTTGCTGCTCTTTTGGGGACGTGATTCCTAGCACCCATATGGGTCGTAACACTCTGCAACTCCAGTTCCAGGGGATCTGATGCCTTCTCCTGAGCCGTGTGAACACTAGATATGCATGTGGTGCACACATATATATGTAAGCAGAACATTCATACCTATAAAATAAAAATAAATCCACAAAACAAATAAAAAGGAGAGGGACTGGAGAGATGGCTTATCCAGGAAAGTTCTTGCCTACAAGCCTGGCAACCTGATGTGCATCACCATGCCCCACATGGCAGAAGAAGACAGTCAACTCCCACAGATGTTCTGTGACCTTCATATGTATGCTGTGGCATGAGTGACCTCCCCAACAGTAACACGTAAAATAAAGTGAGGAGAAAGGGAAAAACCGGAGGGAAGGAAAGGGAGGGGGAAGGAAGGCTATAGCCTGTCTTATGCCTGCTCCTCCTTTTTTGTTTGTTTTTTGTTTTTTTGTTTTTGTTTTTCGAGGCAAGGTTCCTCTGTACAACTTTAGAGCCTGTCCTGGAACAGTAACGTCCTCTGTAGACCAGTCTGGCCTTGAACTCACAGAGATCCACCTGCCTCTGCCTCCTGAGTGCTGGGGTTAAAGACGTGTAGCACCAATGCCCAGCCACTCATGTTCTTTACTATAGTTCTGGGGATCATATCCGGGGGTTCCCATAGTCTGTTTGTTTGTTTGTTTGTTTGTTTCCAGACAGGGTTTCTCTGTAGCTTTGGAGCCTGTCCTGGAAGTAGCTCTTGTAGACTAGGCTGGCCTTGAACTCACAAAGATCCGCCTGCCTCTGCCTCCCGAATGCCACCACCCGGCTAGGTTCCCATATTCTTATAGGAGATTGCAATCCTAAAGAAAGGTATCTTCAGGAAAAGCCTGGAAGGAAGTGAGAAAACAAGCCATAGAAATTTCTAGTGGAAGGGCATTCCACAGAGTGCCCAAACAAAGGCAAGACTTAAGAGTGACACAGGTCAGAGATTAAGGTAGAGGCCCCATCAAGGAGGGCTTGCGAGTCAAGGTAGGGACTTGGATCTTTTGTTTTGTTTTTAGAGATGGGGTTTCTCTGTGTAACATCTCTGGCTGTTCTGGAACTCGCTTTGTAAATGAGGATAGCCTCGAACTCACAGAGATCCTCTGCCTGCCTTGCTGGGGTTAAAAAGGTGGATCTTACTCAAGTGAAAAGATAGTTTGAGGTAACAAAGTCTGTGGGGCTTCATGTATCTATTCTTGACCCTGTTGGAACTTATTGTTACCTATTTTTACTTGTTTTTGTTTTTTTGAGACAGGGTCTCCTGTAGCTTAAGCAGCTTCAAACTCGTTAGGTAGCCAATGACCTTGAACTTCTAACACTTCTGTTTTGACCTCCCCAGTTACAGGATTATAGGTACTAGACACACTTGGCCTAGTATAACCATCTGGTAAACAGCTTGGCATTGTCTGATACAACTGAACTTGAAGAATGTGATGGCATATGCTTGTAATCTCAGCATTTGTGAGCTGAGGCAGGAGGATAAACGGCCTGTTCAAAGTCAGTTTGGACTACATATGCAAGACCCTGCTTCCAACAAAATAAAACCAACACCAACAGAAAAAGAAAACTGAACATACAGTTTAACTCACATCAATATTCTCCAGAAATTATGATGTTCAAGAATGTGCATAGGGATTGGAGAGATGGCTCAGAGGTTAAGAGCATTGGCTGCTCTTCCAGAGGCTTTGAGTTCAATTCCCAGCAACCATATGGTGGCTCACAGTCATCTGTAATTTGATCAGGTTCCCTCTTCTGGCATGCAGACAGAATACTGTATACATAATAAATAAATAAAATTTAAAAAAAGATGGAAAAGAGTTAGACTATCATTCTACTATAAAACAAAGCCTAAAAACAAGAACAGTGCAGCCAAGGGATGATTACAAATGCAATCCCATGTGATGCTTGCCCTTGAGAAACTGAAGCAGGGAGAGCATGAGTTTGAGGCTAGCCTGGGCTACACAATAGAAAAAAAAGACAAAACAGTTTTTTTAGAGACACCGGGTGCTAAAGTAGAGCAAATGAAAAGGAGGGTTGAGGATGTAGCTCGTTTAGTTAAAGGTTTGCCATGCAAGCGCACAGGCCTGGGGATGACAGGGACAACTGAATCCCTGGAACCCACTGGCCAGCCAATTTAACCTACCTGGTGAGTTCCAGGTCATTGGGAGACTCCGCTTTAAAAATGTAAGGTGGGAACTGAGTGGTGGTGGTGGTGCACACCTTTAACCCCAGCACTCGGGAGGCAGAGGCAGGCAGATCTCTGAGTTCAAGGCCAGCCTGGTCTACAATGAGAGTTCTGGGACAGATAGAGCTACAGAGAGAAATGCTGTCTTGAAATACAGAAGCATACACAGACAGACAGACACATACATACATACAAATGTAAGGCCCTGCATGTCAATAAACAATCATACACAAAAATAAACAATAATAAAGAAAATTCCTTATAGTTATTACAAGTGTCAACTTGCTAGTTAGTTCTCTTCCACCGTGTGGTCTGGGGACAGAATTCAGGCTGCTGAGCTTTGTAGGAGGCCCTTTTGCCCTCGGAGTCATCTCACTAGCCCTGATTCATTTCTTTATTGACATTTTAAAGAAGATATATTTTAGTGTGTGTGTGTGTCTCATACATGTGTGTAGGTGCTCATAGAGTCCAGGAAAGGGTGTCTGATCCTACAGGGCTGGGGTTACAGGCAATTGTGAGCCACCTAACCTCAGTGTTGGGTCCTCTGGTGGGACAGCTGTTTGACTCCCAAGCTACCTCTCCAGCATCCTTTTCTGGATTTTTCCTCTTTCTTTCTTTCTTCCTTTCTTTCTTTCTTTCTTTCTTTCTTTCTTTCTTTCTTTCTTTCTTTCTTTCCTTCCTTCCTTCCTTCCTTCCTTCCTTCCTTCCTTCCTTCCTTCCTTCTTTCTTTCTTTCTTTCTCTTTTTTTGAGACAGGGTCTCGGTTATTTCAGGTTGACCCCAAAGTCACTACCCAGCCAAGCATGACCTACTCCTGGTCCTCCCACTTCTGTCTCCCAAGTACTGAGGTTATAGGCAAGGCTCTCACCACCATGCCCGACTTGTCCTTAATATACTTATATCCCGTCACCGACACACACACAAACACACACACTACACACACATACACACATATACACACACACCACTCACACACACACATATATACACATACTACACATACATACACACATATATACACACATGCATATACACATATACCCACATATATACACACACAAATACACATACATACATATACACACATGCATATACACATACACACAACAAAACAAAAAGGAAAATGCTCTTCCTGTGCTAGGGAATATAACTGCTGGTAGACTGCTTACTTGGTGTGTACTGGGTTCCTTCTGGTCTCTAACACCACATAAACACATGCTGCATGCCTGTAATTCTGCATTCAGGATCAGAAGTTCAAGATCATCTGATCTGAACATTGCAGGTTCAAGGTTAGTTTGGGACACTGAAGTTAGATATTTCTTAGTTCATATATGCATCTCTCCCACAGACTTTGAGGACAGTGACTTCTTTATTTCTGGCACCTGTCAGTGCCTGGTGTATATAAGCTGTTTAATAAATGTTTGCAGAATTAGGTTATACTTAACTTCCAAGTCTCTTGTCCCGTGGAGAGAGGAGCAGGAGGCTATATGAAAGGCACAGAGAGTCTGCTGTGATCAGGAGAGCCAACGCCTGGGCTATCATCTTGGCCCAGCTGTGCCCTAGCTGTGTGACATTGAGCAAGTCACTCAGCTGCTCAGCTCCCTCCTCTATAAAACGAGGATAATAGCTGTGAGCTCTCTGGATCATACTGGTGTGTGTAATAGCTGTGAGCTCTCTGGATCATACTGGTGTGTGTAATAGCTGAGAGCTCTCTGGATCATACTGGTGTGTATTAAATGAGATTGTGTACATGCCTGGCACACAGTAGGTGATCAACAAAGGGA